AATTAGGGAATAAATTCATTCCTCAAAAATTAAAAAATAAAAAAAAAGAGGGTTGGGAATGCCATCTTGAGATTGAAGAATAAATCAAAAATATCAGGAATCAAAAACAAAAGGAGGAGGGGGATTCCCATCCTAAAATCAGGGAATAAATCAGGAATATCCCAGAATTCCTTCCTCAAAAATAAAAAAGGGGAGGGATCTCCATCCTAAAATTAGAGAATAAATCCATTCCTCAAAAATTAAAAAAATAAAAAAAAGAAGGGGGGGGGGAATCTCCATCCTAAAATCAGGGAATAAATCAGGAATATCCCAGAATTCCTTCCTTTAAAAAAAAAAAAGAGGAAGAAATCCCCATCCCGAAACACAACAAAAACCCCAAACAAAACAGCGCCAATTTCCCAGAATTCCCCCATTATCCCGAGCCGGGAATATCCCTAAAATCCCAAACCGTGGGGGAATCCCACCAGAGGGAGGAATCCTCCAAATCCAAGAGAATTCCGGAGGATTTGGATCAGGAAATTGAGGAAAACCGACCTGGCTTTGAGGCGCTGGAGGTGGCAGAGAATCGAGTCCCGCTGCTCGCGGGCCCGGGCGCCCAGCGGCTCCTCCTGCAAAGCCTGGCCCAGGAAATCCTCAGCCTCTGGAAAACAGGGAATGGCCGGGAAAAAAAAAAATCAGGAAAAGTGGCTGCGGGAAAGGGTGAGGAAATACAGATGTGGGAAAAGGTTCAGGAAATCTGGGAAGGATCAGGAGATCTGGAAAGGGGTTCGGGAAATCTGGACATGGATCAGGAAATCTGGATGTGGGAAAGGGTTGGGAAATCTGGACATGGAAAGAAGTTTAAGAACCCTGGGAAGGGGTTCAGGAAATCTGGGAAAGGGATTTGGGAAATCTGGGTCTGGGCAAAGATCATGAAATCTGGATCTGGGAAGGGGTTCAGGAAACCTGGGAAGGGTCAAGAAATCGGGACATGGGTTGGAGAAACCTGGGAAAAGATTCAGGAAATCCAGACCTGGGAAAGGGTCTGGGAAACTTGGGAAGGGGTTTAAGAAACCTGGATCCAGGGAAGGGTTTAGGAAATCAGGGATGGGATAAAAACCTGGGAAGGGTCAGGAAATGTGGGCATGGGAAGGGTGAAGAAACCTGGATATGGGAATGGGTTTAGAAAATCTGGATCCGGGAAATCCGGGAAAAGGGTGGGGAGGGGACCCCCGGGAAATCCGGGAAAAGAGGGGGGTCAAAGGATTGTCAGAGTTTGATCCCAAATCTCTCCATGATTTTTGCCAGCTCCTTTAGGGACAGCAACCAGGTGACCCCAAAACCTTATATAATATAATATAAAATAAATAATAAAACATAAGATTTAAACTCCTCCATCCCCAGCCTGGAGCCTCCAGAGTCCCGGGAAGGCCTCGGGATTGTCAAAATTTAATCCCAAATCCCTCTCTGCGTTTTTTTTGTCAGTTCTTTCAGGGACAAGGTCACCCCAAAAAACCTCATAAAATAAATAATTTAAAAAAAATAAAAAATCAATTTAAACTCCTCGATTCCCAACCTGGAGCCTCCACAGCCCCGGGATTGACAAGGCCCGCCTAAGTTTGATCCCGAGCTTTGTGACACACAATTAATCTCCATTGCCCGCCTGTCAGCCGGCAAATCCCGGGAATGGGGACGAGATCTGAAACCGTCAATTAAAAATCGGGAGATAACGAGGAAACAACGCATGGAAAAGAGCCCCGGCAGAAATGGCAGAGTCAGAAACGAACAGCGGGAATGAGCAGGGGGGAGAATCCCAACTCGGTCTGGGAACGAACGCCCGCGGGGGAATCCGGGATCAAAAAACCGGGATCAGAACGCCGGGAAACCTGGGATCAAAATGGCGGCGTCGGGAGCCGCAGGGGGAAAACGCCGGGACCCGAACGGCGCCGCCGGGACCCGAACGGCGCCGCCGGGACCCGA